CATACACACAGAGAGAGAGAGAGAGAGAGAGAGAGAGAGAGAGAGAGAGAGAGAGAGAGAGAGAGGCTGCAGATATAAAATCACCAGACTGCCTTTCAGCCTCAGAGAGGATCCTTCTTTTACTCCGAGTCACCATGAAACCCAGACCCGGACCCCACAGAGGAAAACGCTCCTCAGGACCCATCGATTTATTGTTTTTTCTCTTGCAGCGGCGGATTTTATTACAGAGACACATAAGCTCCTAAAATACTGAAAGAGTTTTACAGAAGTGCCTGTTTGGAGTAACTCTGGTTCAGCTGGACTGAGAAAAACATCTGGTCTCACTGGTGAGTTTTTATTTATCTGTCTGAACAATTCATAATTTTGTGAGAAATTATGTAAATTCTCATCATCTATGACAGAGGATTAGGTATTTGAGTGTCTGGTGGATGTCGGTTTGCTTGTTAGCAAAATATCTCATGAACCTTGGAAGGAGTTTAATTAAATTTACAACTGATTAACTTTTGAAGTGAGCTCAGCTGAAGAAGTTTGCCACAGCCAAAWGACATTAAAAGCACAAAAAAGAATACAATTCAGACAATTTTACAAATAAAAACCAAACATTTTTGAATAGCTGAGACTGATCTCCAACACAACATACTGAACAAGTGGACAGAGTTTATGCAACTTGCAGGAAATTCTCTATATAAATAATTAGCTTAACAAATAATGGTCACCAAAGCCATATGATAAAAAACTAAAGAAATGTCTGTAATTCAATTGATTTTACAAATTTTGAACCAAACTTTGTTGTGTTAGTAGCTGAGATCCATTRACAAAATATATTGTAAGTCTTATCCAAACTTTTAGCTTTAAAATCATTCTGCAAAGATAAAAACAGAAGTTTTGATCAAATGTTCATGGATCTGKTGTGATGCAAATAAAAAGATTTCCAAGTTGAATTGTTTTGTATTTTAATTCTAAAATAATAACATCCGGAGACCTTAATTTAGGCAAAACACAAACATTTTGTGATTATCTGCAGAGACATTCTTGTCTGAGCAGATCGTTCCAAAATTATAACAAATTATAATTTTAAAAACAGAAACATTTAGAAGAAAACGCACATCCGTTAAACGCTGCGTTGCTTTAAACTCCCAGCGTTCCTTTAGTGCTCCTCGTTCTGACCCTGAACTGCTCTGCAGAGATGAAAAACATTCCTCCAACCATTTAATCCTTCAATTGCAGGAAACATGCAGAAATGCTAAATTAACCAAAATTGCACGTGTGGCTTCAAATTCTCATTTTTGTCAATTATTCTGGGTGTTTGTTGAATTTCAGTTTGCAAATGTTCACAAACACTGTTTTAATCACAGTTTCTATTTTTTATTATTTATTCATGAGATATATTGCTGACAGTACAGACAAACACACAGACATGAACATTATTACATTTTTTAACCCTGTCTTTCTTCTGTCTCTGCAGCTTTTTAGTGATGAACTCCAGGACCTCTGGCACAAAGAGATGTTAGCCGTGAGTCACTTCAACTCCTCTGCCTCCCCGTTCCTCCCCCGGCTGGTCGATGGCAGAGGAGGCCTGCTGGAGACCATGGTGACAGCTGTGGGGCAGCTGCAGCAGAAAAACCTCACCTCGGCTCAGAATCAGACCGTCGGCACCATCYTTGTGGTGCTGTCCATGTCGCTGGGCATCTTCTCCAACATCGTGGCTCTGTTCATCCTGGTCAACGCCTACTCCCATCAGCGCAGGCGCTCCAAGGCTACGTTCCTCCTGTTTGCCACGTCTCTGGTGATCACAGACTTCTTTGGCCATGTGATCCCCGGTGCCATGGTTCTGAGGCTCTACCTCATTGGAGGCGTGAGCCCGGAGGACTCCGGCTCCTCCGATGGCATGTGCCAGTTCTTGGGGGGCAGCATGGTGTTCTTTGGCCTCTGCCCTCTCTTCATGGGCTGCGCCATGGCGGCAGAGCGATGCCTGGGCGTCACCAAACCGCTGCTGCACTCCTCCCTCGTCACCAAAACACGGACCAAGCTGTGCCTGTCCACGGTCTGGCTGGCGGCGCTGGGCGTGGCCCTGCTGCCCTGCCTCCAGCTCGGCTCCTACACCTACCAGGAGCCCAGGACCTGGTGTTTCATCAACGTGCTCAACAACACCAAGGAGCTGGACGTGGCCTTCGTGGCGCTGTTCTCCGGGCTCGGGCTGGCCTCGCTGGCRGTGGCGCTGGTGTGCAACACGGTCAGCGGACTGACGCTGGTGCTGGCCCGMATCAGGAGGCAGCCCGGCTCCCATCACTCAGCCAGGTCTCACGACATAGAGATGGTGGCGCAGTTGGTTGGCATCATGGTCACCTCGTGTATCTGCTGGAGCCCTTTACTGGTAGGTACAGCTGCTCCCTCGTCAGGGGTGTCCTTGTGTTAGCAAAATATCTCCTGAACCATCAAACAAATTTAAATAAAACATTCAGAGAGTGATTATTGGATGTGCGTCCACAACTGAAGAAGGAGGGATTTTTCAAGCTGTTAAAAGTAGAGCAACTGTGTTTGCTGCATGACCGGTTTCACCTGTTCCCCATGTTTGTCTTGTTATGTCTTCTTGAATAGGTGTTTCTTAACTGCCCCTCCCCCTTCCCTGAATSTACAGCACCTTGTGAATTTATTTCTGTGAAAGGTGCTATATAAATAAAACTTTACTTACTTATTACTTACTATTGTTGCCATGGGAAGTCATTACCATCAGATACCATCAGACTCCTGATGGATTAAGAGCTCTGTGGTGGACGAGCGAGCGGTGTGTAAAATAATACCTCGTGCTCACTGAACCACTCATTCCCGACTCTTCTCGTGTTTAAACATCCGAGAAGTTGCTTTCTGCATCAGCTCTGTTGCTGGAAAAATTAATAACTGTAGCATTTGGGGATCAGTGGGATAAAGTCTGTTGTGTTAAACCCTACAGACCAGGCAGTGACACTGATGTCTATAAGAATAAAATATTTATTTAGTGTAATGTTTATAGTTAAATAAACCTGGGAAATGATGACAGAGGAATGGGTTTTTTACCTGAGTTAAAATTTTTAAAGCATTTTGGACCAGTTTTAGCTTCTAGATCAGGGGTGCCCAAACATTTTCCCTGAGAGGGCCAAAATTAAAATCAATCTGAGGGCCGCGGGCCGAATGCAGTAATATAAGAAATGCTTAATACTGAAGTAAAGTTGTTTTGTTTTTTATGATCAAGCTAGCAGCCAGTGCGATTGTTTTTTTTTTTTCAGCCCATGGACATGGAGAAAATTCAAGGTATGCTCAGACAGCAAAGGCTCATGGGACATAATTAAAAATTTGAGTATATGTGGTCTTACAAGGTGTGCAAATTTATATAAGGGCTTAAATCTAATCTAAATGTCTTTTGTAGTTATTTTATATTTAATCTTAACATAAGTGCAATCTAATAACCAGGACAACTGTTGATAGGCCAAATCAAATGGCTCGGCAGGCCAATTTTGGCCCACGGGCCCCACTTTGGGCACCTTTGTTCTAGATTTAAAAAAAGGCCTGTTTTGATTTGTTCAAACCATTTAAGTTCACGTTTCTTGTTGTTTCACAGATCTTTGCCCTGATATCAGTGAGAAGACCCACAGGTGCAAACCAGTCAGACTACGAGACCCTGATGCACATGGGGGTGAGGCTGGCCACGTGGAACCAGATCCTCGACCCCTGGGTCTACATCTTGCTGCGTCGCACCGTGCTCCGCAAAATCTACCTCATCGTGAAGTGCCAGGCGAGCATGAGMGGGGGCATGATAGGCCGCTGGGAGAAGAGCTCCTTCCCCAGCCTGGACCAGAAGGAAGTCAGTCAGGTGTGAGCAGAGAGAGACGGACTCTGTGGATGTGTTTGTTACCAGGTTCTTGAACYCACGAAGAACTCGTTAGGACTCGAAAGAGAGACGTGGATAAAAGGATCACACTCTGAAGCTGTGGTGATGCAGATGTTTTAGATCGTTCATCATTGATTCACTCTGTCACCTTCATGATTTACCGACATTACTGCCTGACCTGTCTAATGGAAGCTAACTTTGATTTTGCACAGTTATACATGCTCTGTTGTTCACTTGCAATAAGTGAACATTCCTTATTATTATAATCACTTTATGAAAAGATTGAAAAAAAAACACATCTGAATGTACTCTTGAATTTTGGCCGAAAAGACATTTATGAAAGGACTGAGAGTTTAAATTTCACCAGCCTTAATTGTAAGATTGTGTGTCGTCAGCTGAGGTCGTCATGTTTTGCTCAAGCTAAATATTCTGTTGAATGTAATTTATTAAAGAATGTAAATGTGTTTAAATACAGGGGATATGATCTCTGTTTGTAAATTGGTTTGTGTGTTTACATCTGTGTTTTATTGTTCAGATTTTATAAGTCAATACTTGAAGGTAGCCCTCTGCGAGCTGAGGGTGTGTAACTGAATGTAAATAAAATGTGCTTTAAAAGTCTTGTGTTTTCTCTTTGCTGTTTTTGAATCAGGAGATACTTCAGGGGTTTAAACCTTTCAGTAAAACATGTTTGTCAGGATTTGAACTTTTTTGTGAATTAAAAGAGCTTAAAAACATATTTTAAATATTTTGATTTTGATTTATGCTGAAAATGAATGGGCAATAAATATCTTACCTGTTGTAGATGGTTCCACATACAGCCTAAGTTTGGAGTTTTGTTGGGGTGTAGGGAGCAATGAATTGTTTTGGATAATGTTGAATTTATTCTTTTGGGGTTTTTATGTGATGAAGTGGATTTTAAACAAAATTTTAAAACTCATAGTTAGTGATGATATAATAAAAAATGTAATCTCTAAGGAGCTAAACACCTCTCTCCACAGAACCTCACTTCAAAATGTCTGAACTACCCCTTTAAAAAGTAACATGCATTTTACCACCAGCCACATGTAGGCCTATCTGAGTTTGAGCTCATTGCCCTGTGTGTGTTTTTAAATGGAGCTTTGCTTTTTACTGAGTGTGTTCATATTTCCCCTTAGGGCAGTACGATCTGCAGCGGAGATGCTCTGCTGAGTCATGCACTTCACTTTCAATAGATGATGACAAATCAAAAAGGAATATCTACAAAAAAGGGTTATGCATTTATTATAAATACAGAACACAGATGAGGATGTTCTGATTACGGCTTGACTCAGTTTGGATTTCCAGTGTTTCTGCGTCATAAATGCAATAAATATTCAACACAGCAGTTATAATGGATGTGTACGGCTTCAATATATTAGTGATCCAAACTTTTTCTCAGACTTGGCAGAATTTCTTTATCATCATGCCTGGAACATACTTGTCCTATAATTCCAAAGATCTGCACAGTTTTTCTGTCAGTCGGGCAGTGAATTTCATGTGGAAGGAATTTTCATTCAAAGAGTTTCCTTCTTCCAAATATTTAACAACCTGCAAATCAATACAATGTTCACTTTTTTACAGTCGGTATTTATTTTAAACTATTTTTGTTTCATGTGGGATTTCACTGTATTTGATTCCATTATCACAGCTGTTATATTGGACAGCAGTGATCATGTTGTTTTTCAGACGCGCTCCGGAACAGCAGGGGGCGCTGTTGGACACACAAAAAAAAGCTCATTCCCGGTTCCGGAAAAAAAAAAAACAACAATCTCCCCTCGACTAGAGGACACCACTGGATGTTAACGACTGTGAAACCTTCATTAAAAAAGAGTTACGTTCTCATAAAAGTTTTACAACTGTTAATTTGTTCTCGGAGGAAGGTGAGCCGTGATATCTTAAACAAAACGCAAATGGCAAGGTACTGCTAGCTAGTTAGCATCAAAATCAAACTAAACTTATCTTGTATTTGTTTATTAACCTAAGTGGTGCATTATGGGTTCATTGATTTGATAAATTACCAATTCAATCTGTAGAGTGCTCAGACTTATGCACTTTCATAATTTGCATTTAAACCACCCGCTTCATCCTCTCCGTGCYTGTTGTTTAGCCGCTAACATTAGCTGCTAGCTCGTCAGCATGCAAAAAGTTGGCACGTACTAAATAATTGGATAATCTCTTCTTGACAAACATAAGTAAGTATTGGTGATGAATAGTATTTTTCATGTTAACTAAACAGGCGGCATCCTGAAYAGGGTGGTCGTGACAAGATGGCTACTATGGAGTGGGACGAACATCAGGCCTACGAGGAGCTGCTGTACTGGGACAGTCTGATCCAACAGGGCATCAGCCTGGTTCCTGAGGATTTTAACAGGTAATCCTGTACTGGTTTTACGTGCACACGCAAAACATAAAGTTTTGTAAAGCAAGCAAATTGTATTTATTTTGCACTTTATGTCATGTGGACATGAAAGTCCATACAAGAATGAATTGGTTCTATGAAAATCACTCAGTAAATCTATAATAAGTAATAATGTCATAAGTGTTGCATACTGAATTGTTATAGCACTTGACTGAACCTAAGTCTGTATCATATTTTTCCATCTGTTTAGATTCGAGGAGTTGCGTTACTGGTACGACTGCCTGTTTTACGAAGAGGAGCTGAGACAGTACCATGAGTACATTGCTTCTATAGAAAATGCTGAGGGTCTACATGATCAGGTTTTTATTGTTTTTGATAACACTTAGGTTTTGTGGTGTGTAGAAGTCTGAAACAACATTTTATTTCTTTATGTATGTGTTTATTTGTGYGGTTAGAATGTCTTGCAACAATTTGAAGTGGTTTTGGCTAGCAGTGCTTTTAATTTTTAGATGATTTTGTTTACATTCAGCACACTAAGAAGAAAAATTTCCAATCATCTTTATTGTCAAAAATGTCTATTGTAAATATTAACAAATGTAGCATAAAGGGACTCCCTCCCTTCATGACTTCTAACCCAAAGTCATCTGCGAGTAACTGTTTTGTCTAAAAGCCTCCCTGCCCTGAGAGATTCATGATTGTTTTTGCACATCAGCATTCTGAGGTCACACTCTCTTCTGTAAAAACATTTTATATACTGTATATATATATATATATGTATATATATTTGTGAAATGTGAAATAATTTTTAAGTGTGCATTTTATCTAAGAAGAAAATTAGTCGGGTGGTTTAACAAACGGTTTCTGTGTGTCTTACAGGGGCCTGAACTGTTGTCTGAAAATGTTTCGAAAAAAGTGAGTTGATCCCATTTGATCAGAACTCAGGGTCACTCCAGCGTCTGTTCAGCTCTTATCAAACTTTTGTTTTTCTTTTTTACTCAGGGTGTACTTCAGTCTTATCCAAAACTTGTAAAGTGTTGTCTAAGTTCTTGCGTTAGTAAATTCTGAATCAGAATCCTGTACAAAGAATTCTTTTGGTTTTTCAGATAATCACTATTTTACTTTAAATCATTATTCATCCTACATCTGRAATTAATTAATATAGTCATTTGCTAGTTTAAGAAATTATACTTTAGTTGTTGTTTTTCTTCTCTCAATCAAGGATCAGAAGGCCCCCGGTCCACACGATCACGTTATAATGGCCAAACACTCCGAAGTGTACCCCTCAGCAGAAGAGCTGGAGCTTGTGCAGACAGTAGTTTCCCATGTCGAGTGTGCCCTCAAGAGTGTTTCTGACCAGATAGATGGCATAAAAAATGACAGTGAAGCTGCAGAGACTGGGAGGTAAGCAGCACACCCAACTAGTTTGGGTGTAAATAATGGAAAAACAACATAATGTGCATTACAGCTGCAGTTCCAAGAAGCATTGCATTTGCTCTGATGAAATGGTGTAGAAAGACATTTTATGAGATGATTTTTCCCCCTTTTCTTTCTCCTGTCAGTTCAAACAGTGAAAACCGTATCTTGCGTGGAGTTATGAGGATTGGCCTGGTCGCCAATGGACTCCTACTGAAAGGAGACGAGGACCTGGATCTGGTGTTGCTCTGTTCCAGCTGGCCTACAGGCACTCTGCTGAAACAAGTGGCTGAGAAGTTAACAAAACAGCTGGAGGTAGAGATGAATGTCTGCTTCTTCCTTGTGGCACAACAGAATATATTTCTGTGGTTTAATAATTTATTTTATCATTTAAACAGATCATTTCTGTTGGAACCTACATGGTCATCCCAACTCCTCAGGATGCTACTATTCTTGTGAAACGTACCAAGTTCTCGGTGCCGACTCTTTCTATCCACCTGACCTCGCCTTGTGTCAGGAAAACGCAGACGGGAGAAGGTGAGTGTATCGGTCTAGTTTCCAGTTAGACCTCTGCTCTGTCTGCTCCCAGCACTCTGTCACTGCGCTGCTCCACTGATCTATAATCGTGGGTTTTACCTCACAGAATTTGTTTGCAGTTCATTATACCTCAGTGGCGTCTGTACAGTGATCATTTCAGACTGTAAAACCAGTTAAAACTGGACTTCTTMCTTGCTCGACTGTCTTGGCGTCGTTTTGTGAAAAACTAGGCTCTACATTTTCCTCTGTAGCTGCTGATAGAATCTGTTCAAATTGTTAATAACTGTACTTTAATCATAAAAAAAATCTGTTGATTTTTGCGTATTGCATGCCCTTAGTGGTGCACATGTACATTTGGACCTGGTTGCTGCAAAACTGATGAATGTTTTTTGTTTGTTAGTTTGGTAGAATTGTAGTTTGACAGACAAAGCATTTATTAATAAAATCATACATCCCGCTTTGTTAAAGGAAGGTTGTGTTTAAGTGGTGTTGGTAAAGGCCCTGTCACACTAGACAACTTATGCCAACTTATGAACATTTTAAAGACGTCTACGTTGAAGATGGAATTGAAGAAAAAAATCAGCAGGAAGCTTCTTTTTGGCGTGTACATAATGTAATTCTAACAAATTGATAAAATATATAAATTTTATTAGCAATTTAGTCATAAAAAAGTTTCATAAGAGTTGTCTAGTGTGACAGGGCCTAACAGCGTGGGCTGTTTTAACATGAAAATCTAAATTTACATGTAAGGCCCTGTTAAAACCCAGCATTAACATCTCTTTTGGGTGATACAGAGTGTTCACACCTGGTAGGTAAATGCATACACCCCAAACATCTTTGCAGCTGAATGTCCATCTGCAGATTCATGCAACAAACAGAACGTTTCAATTAAAAATGACATCTTTACATCCTTTGTTTCTTTATGCCTCCTGCAGARACATTTGTGTTTCTTTCAGTTTTATGAATTTATTTGCATATTTAGAAAAAGGTCTTAACAACCAAAAACTTTCTTTTATAGAAAATTTTGTCTGTTTATTAAAATTTTAATAACTTTAATAAAAAGTACTTATCGGGAGCCGTTTTGTAATCACTTTACATAAATGCTGTTTTACTTTTGATATTAGTACCATGCAGAATTAGGCGTTTTCTCTGTTTCATCCCCTTTTTTCTATATTATCTGAATAAATCAACTGTCATCCCTCTTAAACTTGCTGATTAAAACAAACCTGGTATGGCTTTCTGTGTTTTAAAATTTTAAACACTGTTTTAAACGACTTTTAAACGTTTAAAATCAGTTTTGCTGCAACGTGGGACAGACGTGAACAACTTCTAAATGCTTGTGATTTACAACTGATTGCCTTATAGTTTGTCAAGTTTTGTAGGGACGCTGGACCTTTGACCAACTGGCTGTCTCAGGAAGTGCGGGGTAGCAGCAAACCCAAGCTGTGGGGGGAATGGGGGGGTATTTATTGTAGTGCAGTTTATGTACTTCCACTACATGCAGTGATGTGAGTACTGCTCAGTCTGTAACAGTATTTTTACTTCCTCGTGGGTAAATGTTAGGTCAGATCTTTAAGATTTTAAAAGCAAAACTTAGATACTTTGGGACCCCCCCTTCCTTCCTGCTGCTGTTGCTTTGAGCTGCAAGACAGAACCAACCCCCTTGGTCAAACTGTGCCTTTTCTTCTTATCCCACCTCGTCAGTAGAAACGCAAACAGTCGACGAACCGCCGGACATGCTGGACAGGCAGAAATGCCTCTCTGCCTTGGCGTCTCTTCGCCACGCCAAGTGGTTTCAGGTTTGCATTCACGTCCTTATTTGTACATAAGGTTGAAACATTTTCCTMAAATGATCTGACCTTTTGTCTTCTGTCATTCTAGAATCAATGACAGGCTATTGGCTTTTAAATGTAGTGTTTGAAATCTTGTAATTGCAAAATTAAAGTACCAGAAGGGACGATGTGCTGTTCGATACCAATGATAGAAAAGGCRAAAGCATTGGTATCGATACGAGCACAGAAGCTCCTCCAGTTCCACATGGTTGAGAAGTTCTTTAACCGTTCTGTGCTTGCTTTGTTCTCTGAATCATTTCACGGAAACTCAGAAAGCACAGAAGTACGCTCGCATCGGAGGCGGCAGGCCTTCTAACTGAACTGGCTTTTGTTTTGTGTCCCAGGCTAAGCTTAGCGACAAGAATTCAGTCATCGTCGTGATCCGGGTCTTGAGGGATTTGTGTAAACGTTTTCCCTCCATGGAGCCCCTCTCAGGATGGGTGAGTTCTTGACCCTTATAGCATTTTATATTGCACACAGAACCTTAACTACCYTATTTATTCAAGTAAAATACGTAAAATTTAATCCATAAAATCATCCATAAAGTTGGGGGGCAGTTTTATACTCGGATAAATATTTTTACTTATGTATTTTAACTGAAAAATGCTTGAGTCCGGAAATGAGATTGCGTTGTAAAAAGCAGTTGAAGCGAGCTTCCCCCTGTCACTCCTCCATGCTTCAGAGCGACATAGTAACAGATCCAAGCAGGCGACATGATGTGAAAAAAGGTGGGGAAAGTATTCCTGCACCTTAGTAATGATAACGAACTAAAGACATTAGCGTGTGACCGAGCCACTCCTCGATCAACAACAAATACATTGGTCTGTAATGGCTGCCGTCTACCGGTGTTCTGAAAAAGTTTGTGTCCCTGAAAAATGTTTCCCCACCAGAGGGGGCACTCGCGAGTAGTAAG